GGGAAGTGGCAGCCAGCACATCCCTCAGCCCGCGCCACTTCCCGCAGTCCCCATTGGCCTGGAATGGCAAACCGTGGCCAGTGGGAGCTGCGATCAGCCGAACCTTCGGACGCTGCAGGTAAACAAACCGTCGCAGCCCGCCAGCAGATTTCCCTGATAGGCCGCATGCCAAAGGTTGCTGATCCCTGATCTGAAATCCTTATATACTGCTGACTAAACTGTCCAAAGAGTGGGAGTGTGCAGAGGACACTCAGAGAAGAAATGAAGGTTAGTTGCCCATAAGCAAGGTTCTTTAAGGTGGACTTTATATATTCACACTCCCTGCCCCCCTGCCCCTCGTCCTGCAAAGTCCTAACTATTCGGGCTCTTTATTAGCAGTGGAAGAAACTGAGCCAGTGACTGTTGCCACACACCCCTTTATAGTCCTGCCCTCGGAACATGCTCAGACGCTGAGGGGAGGACGCGGAGGGGGTGCGTGAACATTCAGCTAGGCACTGCTAGTCGAAGGCTGTACTGTTCAATAGCACCGGTTGGCGAACATCCCAAGAATGTGAATATGTACAGTACGTCTTGAAGAACCTTGGTTACAGGCAAATAACCTTCATTTTTTCCCTCTCACCTCCTTTCTGTTTGATTTGCTGCATAGGGGCCTGCCAGAATTGCTGCTGCTGCTTAATGAGACTGTCCTGTTCTGCACTTGTGCAGAGCAGCAAGCTCCAGCTGGTGGGAGTGCATTCAGTCCTGAATCTGGGCCCTGCTGTCCCTCATTTGGTACTCCCCCTGAGAGTGAGGCTCAGATGTGATCTTAGGTTAATTGTTAAAATACAACGTCAATTTCCCAGCCAAGAAATACAATGGTTAATTACGGTGATATATTTATTTGTTATGGATACATGGCCAAACCTTTCAGTGGTGACGTTTTGCCAAATAGGATAGGAATTGCTTTGTATACGTTTAATTTACTACTTGCTATCCATCTTCAGGTGTATTAAAAGTGAGGGAGAAATTGAAAACCTTCAAGCCAAACTCCTGGAACTGAAAAAAAAGCTGGACAATACAACTGCAGCAATGCAAGAGCTAGGCCGAGAAAACCAATCGCTACAGGTATAAATCACATTGTGGTGACTAAGCATGCCCTTATCAATATATAGTGATGGAAACTATTTTGACTTGAATAGTGTATTGTCACTCCAGACGTGTTAAAATGAGGCCCAGTGCACCTCAGGAGGCAGTTGATATCAATGGGAGCTTTTATGTAAGTTCAGAATTCAGCCCATAGTTTGGACTTCAGAAAGTTCTTTTTTATTGAAATTGAGCTGGCATTCTAACGCTGAGTCGCCATGACTAATCCTCAGTGTTTTAACCTGATGCATACAGCATGTGTGATGTAGTAGAGGACATTAATAAGAAATGGACTTGCATTTAAAAAAGTCTCTATTTGTTTTATTCATCCAGATCAAACACACACAAGCCCTAAACAGGAAATGGGCAGAAGACAATGAGGTACAGAACTGTATGGCCTGTGGGAAAGGCTTCTCAGTGACAGTCAGAAGGGTATGTGTGCCTTTGTGGGGATTCTCTAGAACTTTTTTTCTTTCTGAACTGTTTTGGAGTTGAAGCAAAGTTAAAGAGCATCTTTAAAAGGTACTCCTAAACCTCAATACAGCTCAGAAACATAGATGGTTTGTATTGTTTCAGATGTTATAAATAAACTGCTCAAGGCTTTGTCTACACACAGGTTTTGTGCTGCTTTAACTATATCTGTGTAGAACTAGATATAGTTGAAGTGGTACAACTGCCTCGTGTGGACATAGGTTTTACCAATATAAAGGTACTTACATCAGTATGGCTTATTTCTGTAAATTTAAATTCAGGCCTGATGTAAATGAGTGTAATTGTGTTGAAATCAATAGTGATACTCGCTTACATCAGGCATGACTTTAGTGTGATATTTTGGTTTTGAAGTACTTTTTAAGCACTGACTAGATCTAGAAATACAAGATTTACACACAGCTCTGTCAGTGTAATCCTGTCCTGCTTCCCCTCCAATCATTTGCAGTCCTTTGGTGTTTCCTGAGTCACAGTTCAGGGAAACTGCACCTGTGTTTCTGCTCACTGGTTCAGCAAGGGCACCCACTCTGTTTCCAGCTCCCCAGGTGTTGCTTTTCTTGGGTGGAGACAGGAGTCTCTCTCCCTTCTGACCGGGGCATTCCCAGACTGGACAGTTCCCTGCCTTCACCGTATCAATCCCAGCACAGACAGATACCCTAGGACACCAGACATCTGTCTTTTCAGAGACAGATAACAGTGTAATTGCTACACATATAAGTTACCACACAGTTCTTTGTAATCAAATCCATTTTATTCTTAAGGTAAAAATATTACAGAGAAAACATACTAAAAACAACAAAAGAACCTACATGCATGCTAATAAGTTTGTCAGAATTCATCCCAGCTCTCACATGGGCTCTGGCAAATGCAGTCATTTAATATCCCATCTTAGGGGCATCCTTGTGGTTACAAGTTCATCAGAGCTTCAGCTCAGAACAAGCACATAGTCTTAAGAGGTCTCAGCAGGCAAAGTCTTTCCAAGGATTGGGGCCCTCTGTGGACCAGGGATCCTGTCCGTTGGAAGAAGGCCATGAGCCAGATTAAAACCCAGACTTTTGTCCAAAAGTCTTTTCTGTTGATCCCCGGAGAATCCAGTTTGAACTAGTATATGCATTTCGCCTAGGAGGATGGCTTTAGAGACTGATAATGGAAAAAGTTCATTAGCATCCCCACCTTCCTACTACAGAAGGTGTATACAATGCCACAACAACAGGTACACAATTGCATTTTTAATACAACGTCCACACAGGTGTTAACCTAATTCAGTAAGGTTTAATTTAAGCTTCACTGAGTTATCTTAATTCTATAAGATTTGTTCAGTATATGATAGGATATAGTCTATCACAACTGCTAATTGTATTGAATTATAGGGTGGTTTCAGCCAACTGATTAAGTCCATGAAACATGCATCTCATGGACCTAAACAAGATTGAGGGTAAAAGTTTCAAGTAACTCTTAAATCCCATTAAAAGTAATTTAGGAGCCTATGAGTCCTTAAAAGTCAATGAGACTTAGGCTCCTAAGCCACTTAAACACCTCTGAAAATGTTACCCTTATGCCCTTTAGAGATGGAGTTGTATATAAATCCAAAGTGCCATTTAGCCTCCAATGTTAAAAATTTAAATGCACATCTGAAATGAAAAAATGTAATTGATCTGATACTTTATGTAGTAATTTATTTTCATGTATTGTGCCCACTATGCTGTATTGACAATTCAGTATCTGTTGTTTTCATCTTTCACAGCATCACTGTAGACACTGTGGAAATATCTTTTGCGCTGAGTGCTCCGCAAAGAATGCCTTAACTCCTTCTTCTAAGAAGCCTGTCCGTGTCTGTGATACTTGTTTTAACGACTTGCAAGGATAACTGGTTATCTCAAATGGCACTTAAACGTTACGCTAGAATTAGAATTTCTGTTGATGCACTTCGTACAGCACTCAGACTACTATTCAGTTTGAACAATGATTGTAACACTTGCAAAATTGAGTATATTTTAAAATGTTTTATCGATACTAAGTAAAACTATTGTATTTTTTGTGAGACGGGCTCAGATCATCCTCAGCTTATTGCCATTTACCCAGGAAAGAGCTTTTATGGCTACGTTAGGAACACCCAGTTATTTGTAAATAAAGTTCAAACAGAGAAGTAACAATGTATTTTTTTAATCTTTAATTTTTGTGTTCAGAAGAAACATGTACGTGATACTGCAGTTTTTGTTTCTTTCAAAACAGTAAGTTGCAAAAATTTGCAAGGATTTTGTGTATCAAATATTGCTGTTTCAGTGGCATAATTACATTTTAATTGTTGCATTTGATTGCATAACTAACATTCTTTTAAATCCCCTAGTAATTTCTTTAGGAGTTTTTCTCCTCTCTTGCTCTTGAATTTTTCTCTCTAAAGCTCCAACCCTGCAATGGGGGCAAACACCTGTACCCACATGGAACCCTGCTGACCTGCATGGGGCTGTGTGTGGACACAGCAGTCTGGCCACATAGAGCTTATTGCAATATCAGTGCCTAAATCATTGCCCAGCTACAGCATTTGGATATTGGAGTATCTTTACACGTACTGTAAGGTACTAGCATTTGTACAGACAAGCTAGAAACAGGACTGCAAGTTTGGTTTCTGTTCTAGGAATAAGCAACAGAGGGTCCTGTGGCACCTTTAAGACTAACAGAAGTATTGGAGCATAAGCTTTCGTGGGTGAATGCCCACTTCATCAAACGCAAGCTTATGGTCCCCACGAAAGCTTATGCTCCAATAATTCTGTTAGTCTTAAAGGTGCCACAGGACCCCCTGTTGCTTTTTACAGATTCAGATTAACACGGCTACCCCTCTGATACTTGTTCTAGGAATGTTGCATAAAGCTCTCCCATATTGATTTATAGATTTGTTGAATAGAATATAACTTTCTAGATTTTCCTATCTGTGGACATATAAAAAAATTATCCTCCATTCTATTCTTTTTCTTTCCCTATTAACCATAGAAGCCCTTAAAGGTCCTTGGTTGGTCTTTGAGGAACACCCAACTGTCCTATGCTAGGTTTCCTACTCATGACATATATTTGGAGACTCAAGCATTTTATATGATCTTCTTTTTGTCCCCCACATTAACTGGAAGAGGTTGGGATTACTCTCTCCCTAACTGACTTGGTCTTTCCACTGCTTCTCCTGAACCTGTGGTGCTGGCATTTTTCTTAATCCTGGGTCTTTCTTGGTACAATAGTTTCATGATTTGGCTTGCTCAGAATGGTGGTTGAACCTGCTGCTGTTTTATTTATATACAAAACAGTCAGACTTAATTAAGAGGTGAGGATACGATTTTAGACTTCGTTACTGTCATATTTTCTTCTCCCTACTTGTGCTGGAGGAGTTTTTAAAAGCGATGCATATATGTACCTCTCTTTGTTGTGTAGGCAGAAAAAGTAAAATGTACATACCTGTAATTTTTCCTTCTCCGAAGTGGGCTCCTGCTGCTCTATGATCCATTGCAACTGGATTATTCCTCATCTTCCAGACCCATTGCCTCTCTAGCTCCCCCGCTAACTGCCCAAGGTAAAAAGACTAACTATAAGTTCTAATGAATAAATATTATGAAAGATTAGCCATCTCCATTCATGCCATCTTATCGAAGGCATGAATTAACAACCTCAGAAATGGTAGTGTAACCCTCAGTTTATTGAGCTCTCCGGCCTCATGGGTGTGAAGACCCTGCTGCTTCTACGGCAACAGCTTTTGCATCTGCCCCATTCTATATGACCTGCCCCTTGAAGAGATAGGGAATGTTTTTAAAACAAACAAACCCGCTATCTGCATATTTATAGAGGCAGGTATTAAGGGGGGGAAAGAGTAAAGTTGGGCATGAGCACTCATGCTTGAAGTCCCTTACTCATGCAGTAATACTCTGTGAGCTTTAAAGCCTTTTTTTTAAAGTGGATTTACAGATATACAACAAAATTATGTACTCTCCTTCCTTAATGCAAGATCACAGACCTGGCAGGCTGGTGGTCTGAGCAACTGGACACTCTCAGCAGTGTTGCTGGCAGGCCAGGCCAATATGGTACGCATGAAGGGAAAGTGGAAGGAGAAAAATTTAGTTCCACCTCTGCCTGTAGATTCCAGCTGTCATTGGTAAGAAAAACAATTGGCTGGTGTAGTACAAAGGCAGGTGAGGTAAAACCCACTGACCTAAAGGAGGCCAGACAGGAAAGAGAAGATTTATTGGCAGTGGTAGGTTAGCAGAGAGAGGCCATGCTGCATAAACCACATGTGAAGGAGCTGAAAGGGGGAATATAGTCAGTGCTCAGAACCCTCAGGCTGCTCTGATATAGTGGTGACTGGTAATAAATATGGTGAATCTGAGCCATTGGAGTGGGGATTTTTTGAAACTAGTTAACTGTAGGAGTCAGAACTGCCCTCAGGGAGAGGGGGCTGACAGAGGGGGGGAAGGGCTGCAGGATGCCAAGCACAAGAAGAACTGGCTAAGGCTTTTTCTGGAACAACCTTGCTGGTTTCCTGCAGACTCTTGTTGTCCAAGATCCTTCATCTACTAGGAGGCACCAAGGAGAAAGAGAAATATAAAAAATTATAATGGAAAAAAAGCTCCAACTGGAGATAAAGACCTGGAGGAAGCTTCTGTGAGCAGATTTGAGACACTAAAGAGTTAGAGAGGCAGTCACTTTTATGAGTGACTTCACCTGCTGGTACTGGTATGTGATGCTAAAGGGAGAGAGGTGTGTGGGGTTTTGTTTGTTTGTTTTTTGTTTTTAAAGAGAACCCCTACCCCATCCCACCCCGGTTCTTGGAAGATACGAACTAACCCAGTTGTAATGGATCCTGGAGTACCAGGTGCTCATTAGGAGGAATAATTTTGTCACTCTTTGAATGACTTAGACTATTGAGATCATCTCACTGGAAAATCTTTTCTTAGTGAAGTAGGAAAAGATTTTTGGAAACAAAAATGTGAAGTAGCTTTTTGCAGATTATTGCCAAAAATGATTGCCATTTGCCAAACTGTTGCTTGACATAAAAGAAGTGACCCCTAAAGCAGAATATTCTCCAGAGCGCAGTAGGGGCCCCATGAAACTCAAGTACTTTCTAGTTTGTTAATGTAATTTAAATGCAATATGGGAATAAATGCTTCTTACAACATTTGAAATTTCTGACAAATACCTGGAGATAGAAAGGAAAATGCTGGAGCTTAAGCCCAGAAGGAAAATAAACATTGTCTAGAGTGATGAGTGAAAGCTCTATAATGACACTATGATTGGAAGAGGTTGAGAACTGATGAATTAATTCATTGCAAACTCCGAAAACCTCTGGAGGAGTAGGAAATAGCATTGTCACTTGCACTATGCACTTTTTTCTTTCTAGTATAACTGAATATAATATACAATAAATGGAATGGCAATTTTGAATGCATAGATGTAGTAATCAATCCACAGTGGGAGGTATTCTTAGCTGGATTGCTCATTGAACTATATAACTCCCCTTTGTTAAGGGGAGTTGCACTCATAATTTCTCTGCACCCTAGGGGAGCATAACCCAAGGACACACATAACAAAGGAATTGACATGGTCTTTAAAAAGCACGGCTGTGTTTATAAAGCTGTATCTTAAGATTTAAAATGATATATGAATTGTACATATTTAAAAAAAAAAATCATGCCAATCGGTTTTCATTCTCCAAGTAGGAACTCTTGTACTCACCTTAGGTTATAGGGTAAGTTTGAAACTAACATATATACACAGTTACACCAGAAGTCACTAAATGGTTTACTTTTCAGAAATAGTAATAACAGAAAAGTAAAATCCTTGTAGAGAAACATGTACCTTTATTTGTCAGTCCCCCCCCACCCCCGGGCTCTAAATAAAGCCATTTGCATTTTTAGAGAGAGGAAACATAACACACCACTTACATTAAGATTTTAAGAAAACAAAGAGATTTACTAGTAGTAAACATTAACCATTTCTTTCTTTGTCCACAGCATACCATATTATACTATGCACTCATCATACAGCAGGTTCATGAGTATCTTTTCACTGGATTACATAGAGTACATTCGAAGATATTAAATGGGAAAACTCTCTGGTGTTAACCCTCTCTGAACAGTGTTGTTTTAGAAGCAAAACATTTGGTGAAGTTTCCTCTCCCCCCTCCTCCCAAATTTAAAAATCAAACCCCAGTCTTTTTTGCATGCCTTTTGGGGTGGGGTGGTTAGAGGGGTGAAGAGAGCGGCTTGTGGAGAGTACGTTTATTGTTTATATGTCAACGGGCCAGTGCTGGCCGGTCCAGAGGCTCCTGCTGTTGGCTCTATTGCAAAGTACTTTGTTGTATCACCTTGTTAAATCCCAACTCCTGGCACCAAAGGGATATTATAAGACTGTCTCACTGGGTTAGTGAATACCGGAACTTTTTATAGAAATGTGTCCAAAATGCTGCTTGTATAGGATTTGTCACTTTTGTAAGAAAATAAAATAAAATAAAAAAAAATCCAGCCCACCACTCGATGCCATATATGATTTTATTTAAACTACCTCTCAGTGTGTAATTCAACCAAGTAGTCCAATTTAATAGGGTTTCCTCACTGTAGTGTTATGTAACAGTTATAGAGACTGCCAAATTTGCAAGTGTCTGTCACCAAAAAAAACCAAAAAAATAGTCTTTTAGTCTTTTGTGTATGTTTAAACAGTATCCACTAATTTCTAATTATTGTAGACTCGGTCGTTCTTTTTTACCTCTGTAGTTTTAATCCTACAACTCTAGCAGTTGGAGAGGAAATAAATCACTACCACAAACTTTTATAGTTATGGTCTGTTGGGTTACAACGGTTGTATAGGGAGCTTTGTCATAGCATCATCCACTAATTAACCCACTCTTAATTTAGCCTTTTTTCCCCAGTACTCTAGATATGAACTTCATGAATGGATTTCTGTAATGGATGCGTGCTACAAATTATATTGCCTCGTTTGCCTCTTTTCTGAATTTTAATGATCAGTTTATTATCGTTGCAGATGTGAATATTGGGCATAAAATTGACTAATTTTCTGTGTAATTGTATAAAATAGAATTGAAAAAAAGCTTTGTTTTTAACCCACTATTTAGAGATAATGTATTACGTTTGCCTTATGATGCAGTTTTACCTACGGAACACTGCACTTCTTTTAAACTGGGTCATACACTCCTAATGGGCATACTACAAAACTTACGTATGTGTAGATAGACTTTGCATGAACATTTTTTCATCAACTTGATTTTTAAGTCTTACTTTCAGTGTTGTGTTTACTAATTGTGATCATGTAGTTGTGCCTTATATTGTGAAAGAGTTTAGTCCAGTATGCACTGCAATTTCTAAACTCTGCAATTGGGTGATGACTAAGGTTGTGGACAAGAAAATGATACCATGCATCAACTAATTCTGTATAAAGTATGATGGACAGATGCTTGTTGAAATGTTACTTTTGTTTTCTAATCTGCTAAAGGAATGATAATAAAATTAGATCTTTCTAATAGACCAGTTTTGTAATTTTCACACTTACCTTATCCCATCTTAAACAACATTATTTTGAACTGTGGGTTGTATTAGTTTAAAAACTGATTGTCAGGAATCAAGAAACTGGAGAGCACACTTGGCTTTCCATTTTCTTGCTCTTGGAGGAACTGCCAAGAAACTTTTCACTATTGCAAGGCGGTGATAAGGGCCATTATTTAATCAATTTCAGCCTTCAGCAATTTAATTCAGAGTGATTTGCTTTTCCCCTCTATCTCAAAATCTGTCTCCACACTCAGTTACTAGAGGTGGCTATTGTGTATATTGGACACTGGCCGAGTAGTGTGTAGCAGTCAGTCCCTTCTGTCATTGACAGTGTTACCTTTGTATTATGTCCAGTGTAGTCTGTATTGCTCTGGCATGAGTGAGAGAGGCTCAAAGACTGCTTCCTACTCTAACAGACATCTTTTAGTTTGCACCTGAACACCCTTTTGTAGGTCTGTCTTCACTGCAGTGTTAACCTGAGCGATCGGCACTCAGGTCTAAGCACCAAGATTATCCCAGTTTGGGTGTAAGCAGCCACATTGCAAAGCCATACCTAAATTACTGTCTGCTCAGTGGTGCTATACAAACCCATGTGAGGTGCTAGGACTTCTGGGATCATAGCCCATGGTTCTTAGTGCTGCATTAAGCTGGGCAGCTCTGATTGTTTCCTAGTGAATTGTGGGAGAACTTGTTTGTCCGCACGGGGGCGGCGGGGTGGGGGTGGGGGAGGAACACTGGAGGACTATCAGCACTCAAATGATGGAGTCTGAGTCCTCACTGGAAAGTGGATGGGTTACCAGCACAGGAATAAGCAGCCCTTGGACTTCAGCATGTAACTCAGGACAGGCCAGCTAGCCTGGGTGTAGAGCCAGCACCACACAGAGAGGGATTTGTGTGTTGACAGTAGCTAGGATAGGGGTAACACTAGGGTTACCATACGTCCGGATTTTCCTGGACATGTCCGGCTTTTTGGGCCTCAAATCCCCGTCCGGGAGGAAATCCAAAAAAGCCGGACATATCCGGGAAAATAGGGAGGGAGGGAGGGAGGCACCGGCTGTGCTTGGCCAGGGGCCGGAGCCGGCAGTGCGGGGCTGGAGCCGGCGGTGCGGAGCTGGCGGTGCAGGGCCGGCAGTGCGGGGCTGGAGCCGGCGGTGCGGAGCTGGTGGTGCAGGGCCAGCAGTGCGGGGCCAGGGCCAGTGGTGCGGAGCCAGGGGCTGGGGCCGGCGGTGCAGAGCCGGCGGTGCTTGGTCGGGGGCCGGCGATGCAGGGCTGGGGTAGGCGGTGCTTGGACGGGTAGTCCAATTGGACGGGGGAACTGGGCCAGGGGTGCTCGGCCGGGGGCCAGGCCGGGGCCGGCGGTGCGGAGCCGGCAGTGCAGGGCCAGGGTTGGGGGCCAGCGGTGCTCGGCCGGGGGTCGGCCGGGGTCGGGGGCCGGCGGTGCTCCGCCGGGGGTCGGGCTGGGGGCCCGAGCCAAGCCGGGCGGGAGACGCCGGGGCCAGAGCCTCTTGGCCTGGGCCGGCCAGCCGCCGGAGAGAGCCGCTCGGCCGGGGGGGCCGGACTGGACCGCGCCCCCCCCCCCGCTTGCCTGCTGCTTCCCGCGAATCAAATGTTCGTGGGAAGCAGGGGAGGGGAAGGGGCAGGGGGAGCGAAGCGTCCAGGGGAGGGGGCGGGGCTGGGAAGGGGCTGGGGCAGGGGGCGGGGAAGACGCGGAGTTGGGCCGGGGCCCGTGGAGTGTCCTCTTTTTGGACACTTAAAATATGGTAACCCTAGGTAACACCCCAGTAAGAGTCTGAGTTAACATTGCAGTGAAGACAAGCACTAAAACTGATGGTTTCTACTGAAAATTTTATATCCTGGGGTTGAATATTCAAATTCTTCTGCACATTCATGATCAGCATTGTATGCATAGTCTACATAGTCATCAATAGAGCCCTGTGAATTTCCTCTTATGTGGTATAATTTTTCATTTTATTTTAATTTTTGGAAACTTTTTGTTGTTTTGTTTTATCCATTCTCCCCCCATGGCCCGGGGGCAGGGTTGGCAGAGCAAGCCCACCCTACCCTCACCCCACAGTGATGGCTCCTGTCCCACGAAGCTGGGCCTAAATTCCTGCTCCTGGTGTTGCAGCCGGGTGTTTCAGGTTGCAGTGCCACTCACATTTGGCTCGGCTGCCTCTCCGTCATCACGTCAGAGGGGCGATAGGGCCAAATTTGAGTGAGTAGCATTTTATTTTGTTTGAATTGTTGTTTTTCATTTTATTTGGTGTTATTTCGCATTTGTGAAACACAAAATCACATGGGGCTCTAATTTTCAGTATGATCCTGTAATCCTTCCTTGTGCTTACACTGAGTCTCGTAATCTGGTCCTGAGTAAATCTAAAATATGCTCTTACGTTCTGCAGCTGTTTGAATGTAAACCCTGTAGGTACTTTGCCTCCTTATAATTTATCTTAAGAAACTGATCCTGTGTAGCATGTAGATATGTTGGTTTATCCTGAGTGTTTGGTTTGACCACTGAAGTATTAGGACACACTGAACTATCTCAATCGAAAGTGAATACTTCGTTTCTGATGTGAAATGACTCATAGACTTTAAGGTCAGAAGGGACCATTATGATCATGGAGCTATCTAAGAAAGGTAAGAAGTAGCCATCCAAATCCCAAAGCGTAATCACTGATTGAGGTCCAATATTGAAGAATGAGAGCTCTGACAACTCTAGAACAATACATTATCTTTGGGGAAACCACCCATGTGAGGTCTGTTGAACAATTTAGCCAAAGTGAGACGCCTTGACATTTATTCCTTCTTTAGGTAAAAGACCTTCTGTGCAATGTGATTTCATTCTGATTACACTGCTCTACAGCCAAAATGCTTCTAAAATAAATGTAGTCAAACTTTACTAATTCTGGGTCACTGAGAACAAAAATGATGCTTAAAATTGTTGATTGGCTCTAGTTTTCAAGATATGCTATTGGGTCAATATATACGACCCTTGACTTGGGAATGGCGGAGGATAAGTGAGTTATAAAGGGAAGGGATCTCAATTTAAACCAGAAATGACTAAAATACATCTTTGACTGGATCTATGAATAAATCTATGACTGGGTTTGGACAGTACTTGCTTTTTAGGCAATGATGCAATCTGAAGCTGGTATTGCGTCATACATGATATGAATTGCATCATGTTATTCCTAGAAGTCATGGATGATGCAATCATAACGAAGCTTACAGCACTCTGCTGAACAAATTGCCCTATATCAGCTCTAGAAATCATACAGTGTCGTGCTCTCTTGTCAGTGTTTGATTTTGCAAAGGGACACATTTCTGTTTAGCCAAAGTGAGCAGAGATGCCTCGTACTTGTGTGAACAGTGCAGATAACTTCTGCTATGTTTGTGGTGAAGTGACTTTTGCATCACAAAAGCGCAGTATAACTACTATGGTTAAGAAAGCCTATCACCTTTATTTTGGCTGCAAAATTGGAGATCAGGACAAGAGGTGGGCCCCACACATATGCTGCAACACTTGTGCAACAAATCTTCGCCAGTGGTTGAACAGGAAAAGGAAATCTATGCCTTGTGCAGCAGTGCCAATGATTTGGAGAGAGCCAAAAGATCATACCAGCAATTGTTACTTCTGCATGGTGCCTCCAGTTGGGAAAGGTGTGTCAAAGAAGAAAAAGTGGACTGTGCATTATCCAAATATTCCATCAGCTATACGCCCAGTACCCCACGGAGGAGGACTGCCGGTTCCTGATGCACCAGAATCATTCTCACTTGAGTCAGATGAGGAAGAGGATGAAACTTC